AACATGTCGCTGGACCACTGGCTAGTAACTGAACTAGGTACTGTAGGTACCAGATGTACTGGTACTGCAGGGTGGTCAGATCTGCTCGGGGTCCCTCGCCTACGTTTGCATGATGATGTATTATTGTACGTCAGAGAGTCGGAGAGAGAGATCAAGATCACACAGCGTCCAAACTGCCTTAAATGTTACACAGTTGATGAGAGTCCTTGTCTGAACATATTTACATCCCTCAATGTTTGTGATGACCCCACATACAGGTCATTGACAATAAGCCTTCTGTAACATGTTTCAACCGTTTAACTTCAAATGTACGCCATGTGCTCTAACTTCTCGTTGTGTCCAAATCACATGACCCCGAGCAGATGTGAACACGTCAGCAGATCTAGTTCCTGAGGCATGCCAGATGCCACATTGTGATCTCGCTGTCACTCAAGAGACCTGACAATGGTAATGTGAGCTAGCCAAAGGTATAGCGAGCTACCTAATGTTAATTTTGGCTAAGAACGACTGGAGTGGAATGCTAATGTTAGCCGTTGTGAGTTAGCTGTTGGTACCCCATTTGACATCTGTTGAAAAAATAATCTGTGACCTGCCTGATTCATTGTGAATTGTCTTTCGAACTACTTATCAATTACATATCTGTAAGATTCCCTACGTTTATAAGATTTGCAAACTTGGAACACCCTGAACAGCATAATAACAGCATTTTAGCTTCCCCTCCAGAGCGTAATGTCAGAGGGAAAGTGACCTTTGCAAATACACCAGGTCAACATCGTACTTGTTTGCTTGAAATGACTTCAGCTTGACAAAGATTGATCTCCAGTGAACACAATTTTATTTAGGATACAGAAACAGCTCTGCCAATAATTACGCGGGTAATCAATACAGTAAATTAGTAGGAAACATCAGCATTTTTTTCTCCATCCTTGACTTGATAGATTCTTTTCTTGTTGGACGTTGGCACACACCCCAGGCCTGGGCGCCCAGCCTGCCTCCCTGTGTCGTCTTTCATTTCCTTTTCACCCCCAGGTCTTTCTGTACCTGTCAATTTCTTTCTACAGTGTGACTCCTTAATCCACCTGAGTGCATGGAGGACAGTTTTGACATAAGAAGAAAAGATAGACTCCTAAGGAGAGGACCAGTATCTTTAGAGCCCTGGGGATAACCGGATTACGACGGCCATTTTGTGCTGCTGGCAGTTTTTCTTATTACTCGGTCCCCCCCACCCCCACCCTCCTCCCCCTCTCTCCACATCCACCACCCACTCACCCTCCCCATCTCTCTAGAGCTGAAATGCTGCCCTTTCTTAGAAGTCACACCAAACAATGAAAAGTACACACAAAAACAGATTCTGTTTTTCCGCAACTAAAAAAAAGCTGAAATGTCTGAGTGGGATAAAAACAAATGATAGTTCTCGTTTGTGATAAACAGATTTCTCCACGCTGCTCTTCACGTTCTCTGATGTTCTCACTGTCTTTCTTCTCACTCTTTTAAGCTCGGGCAAAAAGGGCTCCTTTGTTGCACATCACATGGGTTTTTCCCATCCATATGTCACATTTTTTGAAAACCTGGACTCACATGTAGAAGAAGAAAATGACATAGTTTGAAATGTAGTGTGAGGCTATTTATCATAAACTTGGTCTGAGAATGATGTCCAGCTATGATCTGCTTTAAATAGCAGTTGTCTTTTCTGGTCCACTAGCTTCATCATTTTCCCAGATGAAGGCAGTGTGGATTGTCGCTGCTTGTCTTTCTGAACTATTTCATGAGACTTGAGTGATTTTGGCTTTTGTAAAATATTTTTACAATTGTACATTTTTCTTTCAATCTAAAGAATTGTTTGTGGATGTTTATCTTTTTGGGGGTGAAGTCATGCAGCTTTTTGGCCTACTTTTCAGTGTTCAACTGAAGAAGATCCATGGATAGTGACAAATGTTGTGATTATTGAAATATTTTGTAGCGTGGATTAAGTGTGCAGGCTTTCCTCCATTGAACTCATCATTGTCTCTGTGTGGTGGTGAGTTCCTCCTGCATGCCAGGCCTGAACCTACACAGCAGCAGATAACAGCACAGCTATGAGGACACAGATCAACTGTCTGACCCCCGCTGCCAATCACTTTATCCCTCTGGCCGGTCTGCTCGGAGAAAACCCAGAGGAAAAAACACTCTCTGGAAACATCTTATCACCTCCAGCACTGATGTGACGTGCACCTCTGGATCTTTTATGTCCATTTATTTTCCCCTGGAGGAGGCCCACCGTGCCTCCGGTAGTGGGAGGTAAATGAAAGAAAGGCCTCCCCCTTGCTGGTGCACTGATATCTAAGTTTATCTCTGCTACCACAACCTAAACCCAGAGCTTCATCTAACCAGCACCGGTCTGTGGATTAAGAAACACATCATGTTTCTGTCATGGTAATAATTATTTTTGTTGAAGACATGTCTGTGCTTTAGAGAGGCCTGGGAGCTTCCACTCAGACCACCAATGGTATTGAATGAAGACACTTCATTCAGTGTTCTTCCTCAGAGAAGCTGATTTAAAAAAACAACAAAAAAAAAAACACAATGTCATTTAACCTTGAGTTATACTTAGTCTCTGTCTATCTTATTCCAATAACCAACAGTTGGCTGAATCACAGGTTCAATCTGATAAAATACCTTCATTAACAAAACCGTAACAACCAGCCGGGGAAAGAAAATGTTAGAGGTGATGTATCGATTTTGTAGAGCTGCTTGAAAACATATTGGTTCGTATTAGAAATCTTAACGGCATCATGGAGAGGAATTTTAATGAGGGATTGTGTCAGGTTTGGGGTCGAGCTTTAAAAAGAGATTTTGCAAACAAAGATTGAGGTGAGTCAAGAGTATTAGTCCAATGATGCATGGTCGACATCGTCTGTATTTAAGAGGGGATTTACAATTTTTGCAAGTTTAGAGGACAAACATTCTAAACTAAGAGAAACGTCTTACATTTGGGGTGCTGGATAGCCTAGCGGTTATGTTGCACGTCGTATGCACACAGTCCTCATCACAGCAGCATTGGGCTCGAATCCAACCTCAGCCCTTTGCTGCATGTCATCCCCAACTCCCTCCTCCCAACATTTCCTGTCTCTCTTCAGCTCTCATCTAAAGAAGGTGAAAAAATATCTTGAAATAATACAGGAAGACACCTCTAAAACTTAGAGTCTGAATATGAATTTTCAGCCTGTTTTCCAAAGTTTTCTCCCTGGCAGATTTGCAAGGGCCTTGAAAAAACGTAGATACGGCTCAAGAAGTATGTGTTGATTACCAAGCCAAAGATACCGTCGTTATGTTACTTTGCACGCAACCTAATTATACTCTCTTTTGAGAATGAAGAAACCTAAATGTTTTCACATAGAGGGCTGAAATTCGAAGAAAAAAAAAGACTAGAAGATTTGAATCAATGATCAGAAAAGCAGCAGATTCATTGAATAAGTGACACCTGATAACTGCAGCTCTAATTCAGAACCTTACATCGGATAATAAAAAATAAAGAATTGGGTAATAATGTGCCGTTTTGTTTGTTTGTTTTGGGTTTTTGCTTTTCAGAGCATTTCCTTTGAAAACATGCTCAATAAAACATGCCCAATGTTCAGTTAACAGATAGCATGTGAAATCAAATTAGTAACTTCATTAAGACCATCTTTATGAATATGGGGGGTCTCCTGGCTCATGCTAAAACCTTGTTTTTTTGTTGCCGGATGTTCCAGCAACTTCCTCTGACTTCTTAATGAGGCATGTAATGAGCTGCAGGGCATCTTCCACGACTCTTTCAAAAATCCTCTACCTCCTATGTCCTGCTTGTATTAGTATATTAATTGAGTTATTTCAGTCATGTGTTGTTGAGTTAGGTAAAAAACGAGAATGTGATTCATTTTCTGCTTTATAAGCCCATCTATGGTGACATCTGGGACGTACTTTTTAGAAAAATGTCTTCCATTAATGTTGTTTTATTCTTATTTAAGATTAAGATTAAGATATACTTTATTAATATCAAGAGGGGAAATTCAGTTTTCCACTCTGGTATTGAGACACGTTACACACACACGTGCACCAACATCCTATGGACATGCACTAATGGAGAGTTGTCAGGGTGAGGGGGCTGCCCACAGCGAGCGCTCAAGGGCACCTCGGTAGTGCTCAGGAAGTAAACTGCTACTTCTCCAGCTCCATACCAATTTTTAGACTCAAAAACTCAACTCCTTACAGATAGGCTACTGCCGCCCCACACACTGTTGGATGATTATGAAAAACTTGAGTTGTGCTAAAGAAGAGGAACCTTTTATGTAGCAGATTTTATCTGCAAAGCTTACGAGAAAAGACAGAATACAATATTTAAGACTGAGCTGTAAAAAGGAGCATGCAACTTCTGTAATGCTATGAATTGTTGAACCACTGCAACTGAAATCCTGGTGTCTTATAAACCCATGAAGATTGGGCACTGTGTGCATGAAAAATAAAATACAATCAATCAATCATGTATTAGGCATCATAGACTTTCTTCCTTGGTTTCCTGCCCGCTATGCATCTTTGGAGACTGAGCTGTCAGGGAAGGGTTGAAGGAGGGAGTCCCTCAGAAATGTACAGTCACTTTTTGTGAAGGGATTAGTGCTCTCTCTCATTCCCATTGGCTTTGCCCGGCGTGACAGCGGTGTGGAGAAGAGTGGCTGACATGCCGAGCATCATCCATAACAAGCTTCCAACCTGCTCCTGTGTGACTCCCATTCATGCGCCCTAGCTTTGCACTTTATGTGCTTTTTAGTTCCACTTTGTTCAAATACTTCAGTAAAGAGGAAACATCTTGTCTTCTCCTTTATTTTTTTCTTATCAAAGACACTAAAAGTTATTCTGAAATTTGAGCCTATCTTTAAGAATCCTTCGCCAATTTTCCTTTTACGCACGAGTGGACCATGCGCTTTTTTGAGAGGTGACATCTTTAAAGTAGGATCTGTGTTTTGTTGATTTGCGTGACATTTTCTGAAATGGCAAAACCCTTAGATCACATCAAAAGACCGATGAACGCCTTCATGGTTTGGTCCAGAGGCCAGAGGAGAAAGATGGCCCAGGAAAACCCAAAGATGCACAACTCTGAGATCAGCAAGAGGCTCGGCGCGGAGTGGAAGCTGCTCTCCGACCTAGAGAAACGTCCGTACATCGACGAGGCCAAGAGGCTGCGGGCTCAGCACATGAAGGAACACCCGGACTACAAGTACCGACCCCGGAGAAAACCCAAGAGCCTCCTGAAGAGGGACCGATTCCTTTTCCCCCTGCCCTCTTTGCTCGGAGACGCAGCAGAGCAGTTGAAGGGATTTTCCATGGAGTCCTTTCTTGTCCCCGGGGATAAAGCCAGAGCTCTTCTGGTTCCCTCCTCTTCATCCTCCTCTTCATCATTCTCCCTGTTGGAACCGGTGGCGCAGTTCAGCAGCGGAGCTGTCCCGCACACTCTGGCTGCCGGCGCTCTGCCCTTCAGCGCGCACACCTTTGGATATCAGACTGGGGGAATTGGGGGTCTGGCTTGCCCCGGACAGCACACCCACACTCACACCCATCCGTCCCCCTCTGGCCCGGGATATGTGGTTCCGTGTAACTGTAGCGCCTGGTCTAGCCCCAGTTTACAGCCTCAGGTAGCGTATATTCTCTTCCCTGGAGGGATGACCAAGAGCGGCATTGATTCGTACTCCTCAGCCGGCTCCAGCGTGTGACAGGCGGGACACACTTGGAAAGGCGTTGAAAAGTTTGCATACAGACCTTCGACATTTACAATGCCAAAGACCTGGGCTAAATAAAGTGTAACGGGTATCAGAGACTATGTGTTTGAAAATATATTTAATACAGCTCAAAATGAAAAGATGTTGCGTTTTTTCTTAGCCTACTGCTGAGCCCCAAAGAAACAACAAGTTCATACATAACTCTTTAGTCTAAATGCAGAACACAGATTTTGGAAAATTTCAAAAAACATTTTTTTTAATGTTTTGAGAAATATACATTTGAAACAGTTAAAAATAAAATAAATGAGGCTCACATATAACGTGTATTAATGATTGGAAATTTAAGAAAAAAGGTTTTCATGACCTTATTTTCAGTAAACACATAATGAAGTCAAATGTTCCCCTTTTTTATTCTTACATTGTTACACATAGGCAGTAACACTTGTGTTCTTCAGTGCGTCTGTCTCAATGTGCGGGCCTGTTTTTAATGTTTCTTTTGAATCTGTTTCTTAACATCTTACATAACCAGCAAAGGTTTTCCTTAATTGTCCTTTTATTTCAGACATCAGCTGTATTAATAACTGGAGGAAGATGACAGTCAAAGCAGTGTGTCCCTTTGTTCCCTAATTCAAGCTGTTATTCAAACAAGCTGACATATTGAAATGATATTCATCCTGTAAGCCATTTTATTCAAATGAAAAACTAAACTAGATTAAAATGTTCACCCCGTGTGAGTTTTGTTTGTCTGTATGTGTGAGTGCGGGAACCACAGCCAGAGGCACGATAAGAAAGAATAAATGTTCTCTCCTCCCTAGAGTCTACAAAGTTGAATGAACTTTATTAGTGCTGTTTGTTTCACAGTAAGTAAGAGGACGTGAGCCCTGTTATTGAAATCAATGGATTAAGTCCAAGTGTATGACAAGTCTTAAAGCATGAGTCCGGTCATTTCCAGGATGTAATTTCACGTTTCATTTTAGCTGAGGACGGATCAAAAAATGTCCTTGACTGGACATGAATCAGGAGTTTGTAATGACGTGTTCATGACCTTAAACCTTGGTCAGAGTTTTCCCTAAACATCTGCTGCTGAAGTGTCCTTGGGTAAAACACCAACTCTTCATTCATCTAAGGGTCTGTTCAAGCAGCTGTGTTCAGGACCCTGACCGCTCTCTCTCCTCACTGTTAATGTGAAAAAAGATTTGACATTACAGCTCGTCACACAATTGAGTCTTTTTCTGTAATTCAACATTTTGAGTCACACCTGAGGGTCTCCATTTGCTGAGTCTTTTTGGCTTCCTCCACAATTTTGCCTCATCTCTCCCCTGCACGCCGCGTATGTTGCTTCATGTCTTTGTGCAGCACTGCAGAGCGTTTTCATCCGTGATGTTAGCATGTCGGACAACTGTGGAACAACTGTGAGGGTGTCCCCCAAAAGTCCATAGATTCTGTTTCCTTTGTTTACATTCAAACTGTTGGTACCTGGTGCATCCATCACCACCACAACTCTCTGCACAAAATAGTCCAACCCCGACACGAGCCAGGTTGTACTCCGCCACCTCCTCTGAGCACTTCCATCAGTACAATGTGTCACTTTTCATTTTCTGCTCACTCATCAGCTCACCTTTTGGTTTGGTTCTTATATGAATATAAAGGCACACACCTCAAGTATTAGTTAGCTTCTATTAGTCTTTTGAATGGATTCAGACAGCGGACTCCTTCTGGGCTTAATTGGTGCAGCTATTGCCAAGAACAAGTGGCCCATCAAAGACCAGCAGGAGGATATGTTGACTCTTGTTTAGGACTGTGAGAGGACACCTCCCCCAGATTCACTCATAGCCCCAAACTCATCCTGGGCTACTCAGGTAGGACAAGACTCTCGTATTTACGCGGCGAAAAGCCCCCTTAAGTTCAGCTGTTAAAAGTACAACAGGTACAAACTGTGACCAGGGAGAAGTCGACTTCACTGTGATGCTGTCGAGTTTGTTGGTGTTCCAGTTTCTGCTCTCAAAAGAGCCTTTGTTCTGTTTTCTGTGATAATAGAAATAATGATACAGCAGGTAGATTGGGAAGTTCTAAGTTCAGGAGTTAGTCACTACTTGTGGTTATGGGGCAATGATAGGTCTCATTTGGTCTGTTCATCTGGTCTCGCATTGGGTCTATTAAAGATGTGCACACAACATAGTTCAATGTTCTCTCTGAATATATTCCCCTGAATATATTTGGTGCATCGTATTAGAATAATATTTAGCAAAAGAGAAAACCAAACCTGGCCTGAGGAAGATCTTGTAGATCCAACCATTGGATGGTTAAATAAAATGGCCCTTTAGGAGCTGGACAGTGTGCGGACCTTTTTCTTTAATTTTGCAAATAATCTTTTAAACCAAGAAGGATGATGAGAGCAGCCGGTACCTGTTGGTTTTACACCTAGAAGCCGCCAGAAAAAAAACAGTGAACAAGAGTTCTTTTAGAAAACTATGAGCAGGTCTTTGTTTAAAGGCTTTGATTAGCTCTGTAAAATAAATATGTTTTATTGAGAGGTTGCATAGAACTTTAACTTTAAAGGGGGGGAGTAAGGACTCTTTAGAATAAATAAATATTATTACACAAAGATCGGATGGAAACAAAAAACTCACTTTACTCTGTTGTTTCTGTCATCCTCAAAGTCTTTGTGTTGATGAGTTCATTCCTATCAGTGTTTGCATCAGCAGTGGCGCTTTGTGTCCCATGTAGCCGACAGCACGGCGGAGACTTAGTCAAAACAGTTATCACAAACAGAACTCAAATAAACAAAGGGCAGGGAGCTTTCTATTTTATTCTGGTGTTGGGCTTACATCACTTCTGGTTTTGCTGAGTGATGTTTGATGCTTTGACATATACACATTGAGCCCTGCACTGTTTGTTATCTCTAGTTGTTTATATCTGGCAGTCTGAATTTAAGGGATTTCACGGGAATGTATTTGTAAAGGGAGCAAATGATGAAGATGGACCCAAATAAAATCACTTGAAGTCCACATAACCACTCCCTTAATGCTCATCTACTGATGTAGATTCATATCAAGCTTTTTCAAACGTGTATCTAACGGCTTATGTTGCACCTTTTCATGTGTTCCTTTTTGCTTTTTGGTTACTTGCAGATCTATGAAACACCCAAACAAGCCTGGGTGAGGATCAACCCGAGAGCGGCAAGACAGATAATCTATACAATCAAATCCAGCAATTTCAACCTCCTACTCAAAAAGGTCGATCAAATTTTTTTTTTCCCTTCCTGTTTAGAGAACACGTGGTAAGAGTCAGACTAATCTATGGTGCAGGAAACCATCATGAGGTATGTAAGGAAGTGAGAAAAAAGACAGCCAAGAAAACAGAGTAAACAAAGCCTTTCACACACACTGTTTTCATTTAGGAGTTATATTATTTTACTTGTTTAATCCACTTCCCTAGGGGTTTTTCTCTCACTCCTTTTGTCTTCTTGTAGGCAGGCTGTCCACCTGTTGCAGCACCCTGCTGGAATGTTGTTTTACCACTAGATGTCAGCAAATCCATCTCTTGGGCCTGAGTGTCAGAGAAACATCTTAAACTAGTGCAGTCAGCTGTACGACAATTAAGATTTGAATATGCTTTAAAGACAAAAAAAAAAAAAAAAAAAACATCTGCCAACAGAATTACCTTCAGACTTTGTTTATTGTTGCATATTTAAACTGTCCCCTCACTCGCTCAAAAAAAACCAAGCATCCTCAATAAATCCAGTTTCTCTTCAGGGCAGGAGGTTCAGATAAACACAAACATACATCAGACGTCACATTCCAGGCTCTGGTTTACTGTGAGGTCATCACTAACGTGTGCTTCAGTACACTCCTGCATGTGGAGAGCAACTAGGACTCATTCTCACTACAAATCCCATCAGTCACCATTATGAGCGTTATAAAAAAAACAGATATACAAGAATATCAGACAGGGAAAAAAAAACTTCATGATGTGCAGAGTAGTCTTTTTCTAAACTCATGGAGCCATGATTTGAGCTATGATTTCTCTCTGACGTTGGATCAATATTCTGGGTGTGCTCTGTGAGTGTGTCTTTTCACACTCACATATCTTAATTGGTCAAATTTAGATAAGAGATTCACGTTTTCTGATACAAAACAGTCATTACAGCAGAAACTTAACCACCATCCATCAAGGGAGATTTGTGTACAAACCGGTAAACAACGCAACCGTTTTACAAATATACATTTTCTAATGCTCCTCCAGTTGTCCACAGCCATACAGATATCTATGGTTAACATGCTCACAGTTAAGAAGAATTGTTTCGTGAGATTTCTGCCCCCAAAAAACTTCACTAGGGATGAGTGTACTTTGCTCAGGATCCAACAAAATTTTACATGTGATCTTCTGCTGCCATGATTTTTAGAATGAGTGTCTCTCATTGAACATATTTATTATGCAGAACATTATTCCACTGAACACCAGTAATGGGGTTACTCTTTAGTAACAAGGACACTCATTCTGGTAGAAAAAAGACCTAATGCTGAATATTTGGATGATCATTTTTCTGAGCTGAGAACACCACAAAGAGTATTTTCATTTCTCTGAAGATTGACACAGAAATCTGGGAGACAAATCTGTTAACCTAAGCACTTTAACCAGAAAGTATCTGCATGGCTAGATTACATAAGCGGGTTTGTAATTTGGTTTAACCGACCTTTTAACTATAAAAATTAAACAAACAAAAAAGTTGGTCTCTTGTGTCTATATCCGTTCTAATTTCTCACTCAGGAACTCCTCCACGCTGTCTGTGTTCCACTTGAGGATGCTGAGCTCCTCAGCCATGTTCCCGTTATCGTCCAAAAGCTTTAGCACAGGATCTGAGCCTCTCACGTACTGCAGGGTGGGAGAGGGGGGGGGGGGGGGAGAGAGAGGGAGGGATGTGTTAGGACGGCAGGTTTGCCCTCAATACAACTGAAGAATATGCAGAGAAATATTGGAAAGGCATCTTCTTTGAGAGAATGTGATCTGTTTCCAGATGAAGCTTAATGTGTCTAATTACAACACAACATCAGTCATCACAACATCACAACATCAGTCATCACACCATCACAACACAGTTCATCACAACATCAGTCATCACAACACAGTTCATCACAACGTCAGTCATCACACCTACCTTGATCT